CTGAGCTCCTTTTCATGTGACCAGTGATGTCAACCAAAAACCCCTAGTATAGAATACAGTAAAGAAGGATCCCTACTTTTTGTAGTTTATGTGTCTGTTGACACTCTTCACAGAATCACAGAATTGTCGGAGTTGGAAGGGATCTCTAGAGATAATCTAGTCCAACTCCCCTGCTAAAGCAGGGTTGCCTAAAGCACATTATTCAGCTGCATCCAGGTGGGTTTTGAATATCTCCAGAGATGGAGACTTCACAACCTCCCTGAGCAGCCTGTTTCAGTGCTTTGTCACCCTCGTAGTTAAGAAGTTTTTCCTCATATTTAAATGAAACTTCCTCTGTTCAAGCTTGTGCCCATTGCCGCTTGTCCTGTCCTTGGGAACTACTGAGAAGAGTATGAATATTTACAGTGCAAAAGAACAGAGTTAAAATATTCTTACTGTCATGTCTCTGAGGATTACTGAAATTCTAGTTTTCCTAGGCCATTATTGCTAGATACCTATATTAACAAAACAAGACAAATTTCTTTCAGGCATGGCATTGGTATGAATCTGCTTTGGGTAAGAGAGTTGCTAGAAGATTTCTTAAGTTGACTTCTAGCTTTTTGATTCCAGATACCACAGGTGAGGTTTTGTGGAGTTTTTAGCTTGTACTTGAGAAAAGCTCAGCCTGAACAAGAGTATACATTCAGGCTATCCTTACGAATCAACGCTATTTGATTTGACTATTTTATCTGTTAAGATACTTGCCAAGACTTTCCCAAACTCCTCTGAAGATTTTTTTTTTTGTGTAGGTACGTGTTTGCTAAGATTCTCAGGTGGCTACTTGGAGACATACCTGGAGAAACAGTGTGACTGTTTCAGACCAGACATAAGATTGGACATCACACTATTTCTGCAGTGGTTATGTTTGTTACCTGGGCTCAGTATAGCCTATAATCTGTTAGTCCCCGAGTGACAGGCAATATTTCAGTTTTCCTCTGAGATGGCTAAGCTGGAAAAGAACCTTGTCTCTTAGCCCTGGCTCTCATGCATTTGGACTTTGGCAGGCAATATCTCATAGTACTTTTGCTGGACATTAAGGATAGCTATATGATTGATGGCTAAAAAGGCACAGGAAAAATAAGGATTTCTGTTACTGACCTTCCAGTGACATTGTTGGAAGAGACAATGATAAATCAAGCTGCATGTGTAGAGTATGTACTTAACTTACGTTATATTCTATACTGCCTTTGAATAAATATTACCAGATAATTATATGACAGGGAAATAATTTTATGCTTTTGCCTTTGATGGCAAAATTTCTACTGTGACTTTTATTATTATTGTAATGATAATTGTTAAACATTTCTATTTAACATTTCTGCAGGTCTGTGTTTTTCCATCAGAGTTTCGAGAGATACTCAGAACATACTCATTCTTTATTCTGCCTTCTTTTCTCATCTTGGTTATTATCCTGCTCCATAAATGACACAAGTGGTTTTTATTAGCAGTTGTCACCAGTTGGTGGTGTAAGTTAGTCTTCAAGTGAGACAGTACATCTTGATGGATGCAGTTTTGAAATCACTCTTAGTGCTGGACCAACTTTTAGTGTAAAGGAATACAATTATACTAAAAAACAAAGCATAAGAAACAAGCTTCTATGCTTTGTTAAGATGCAGAATACTAGAGCATAGCTCACCACACAGACATGCTGCTTTGGCTACCTTTTGTCTTCTGCTGACCTGGTTGCCATGATAGTCATGCTATCTCCCAGGACTAGTCACACTGCTTCTAGATCTGTGGTCTGGATTTTAGTGCCTTTTATCCATACATGGTTTTATAGTTCATGGTTTATCTTTCGTGGTTTAGGATGAGAGCTTCTCCTTATATCTTGTTTTCTCAGCTATGAATGACAAAAAATAGTAACCTTAGTATTTGGCATTACCATTATGAAACTCTTTCCTTTCTTTGTGAATGACAACATTCCTGAAGCTTTTGAAGCTGCAATATGCATTAAATATTTTATAACATGTGTTACATACCCCATTTTACACACAAAGGTAAAGTGTATTTATCAGTACCTCTTGACAGAAACTATTTAATGGAAAATAGTCTGGGATTGCAGTGTATCTGGAGTAAGAGGTCCATAAACATGGCTTAGTGGCTGAAAGTGAAAAAATAGGGCTATTGTATTTTTCTGTAGAAATCCATACAATAACATTATGTAGAACATGTACAACATTCTGCAAAGTCAAAGTTCTGAAGCACTTCAGTTTTGTCGAGGGAAGTATTCCAGTCTTAACTGTCACTGTAAGAGGAATTTAGATATGTTTCTGATCAATTTGCCTCAGAGATCCAGGCTAGCAGCTGTACTTGGAGCACATCTGCCCAACATATGCTGACAGAGAGTTTAACATCTATTGCAACAACCATAACCACTTTTCCTCAAAATCGTGATCTGAAGTAACATATTTGCTGTTGTATATGTAGTAATGTCATCCACAAGGACGTTGTCTTACCCCTATCCCTGCTCTTGGGACTGATTCTGTTGTTGTGGGGTGCTGACTTTGATGGTATTGTGTATAAGCTCTTCAAGGGTGATACTCAGAAAGAGGAAATTCAGGAGTAAACAGGAAAAACTCAGACTTCATCACAATCTGTTTTTGTGAGAAGGAGTATACCCTTAGGGAAACATTAGGGAAAGTGGGGGATGGGGAAGAGGCAGGCAGAATGGAATGGCAAATAAATTTGGAAGTTAGAAATAGTTACTAATGAGAGTAACAGTTTCTGTTGTGAACAGGATGGGTATTATCAGCTAAAAATCAGGATTTTGAAACTGATTAGGAATGCTGAAAGCTCAAGAAGTGATAGATATCTCTGCCTTCACTTCCTATGTGTCTTTATGGAGAAGTTAAGGTTAAAATGTAGTAATCTGTTTGTTTTGCAGAGATTATTTCCCTTTTGCGCTTAGCATAGAGAGATTTAATTTCAGAAGTGTAATCCTAACTGTCCATTAGTGCAGCTATAATAAACATTGATCTGTTTATTCCTTAAGCAGCATGTTTCCTAGAGCTATACCTCTTGTTCCTTCTTCCACACTTTCTCATGTCAATCAAATAATCAGTAACAATAATCACAAATCCCATTAGGAACTAATTACATATATGCAACTTCAAGCTCGTTTACCACTTTGCTAACATTATGTCCAAAATTTTTAACTGCAGTCGATCCAGCTTGCTTCTGGCTCCATTAATGATGGTTACACATCTTTGCAAAGTATTAAGACAAAACTCATCCAGATCATATTCACTGCTTCAGAAATAAATACCTAGAAAATTGAGTAATTTTTAGTTAGCTTACCTTCTCTGTCTTCAGATGCATTGAACTCTGTCAGCCACCCACTCTTAAGAGCACCACTATTCTCATGACATATCTACTCAGTTCCTGGGTGACATGGTGAGCTCCCTGAGGGATCCTGTTTTTCTTGCTTGACTATGTGCTGTCACTGGAGTTGAGAACAGAGCCTTGTTGACAAAATGTGGACAAAGATTACATAAAGCACACTGAGAGTGGGACATCAGAAGAACATAGGATATATACATTTGAAGCTGTTACATGAACTCACTTCTTTCCTGAGAACATGAAGGGAACAGGGTGTAATTCTTCCAATAGAGAGTGTGGAAGACAATGGCTTGCACAGATGTGGTGCACCTTGCAAGAAATCAGTGGTTTTGGACCATGCTGAAAATAACAGCCCATTTCAAATACTTTAGCAAAGTACTTTTATATGCCGTTACAATTGAGATAAACATTTATAGCAACATGTATGTATTGGTCAATTTCCATAACTATCTATGTAATTTTCTTTGTTTGCTATATGCCTACATCTCTTTCCCAGAGAGTAATAGAAATTAAGGGGAACGTTTTCAACCAACAATGAGAAAAAATAGTCTGTGAAGACATATCATACTGTTGCATATGCTAAAGTGAAGCTTGCAAAATCTAACTTACTAACTTAGTTTAATGAAAACAGAATCTTTAGGCAGGTATAGAACTCCTTTGGGATTTAAACGCATGCGGCAGGAGAAGAGTAGACCTGTATGTTTCTGGGAGGATCACACCCACAGGGTTACACTTTGTTTCTGTAGTCTGGATAGTTAAGTGCTGTTCTGAAAAAAGAGAATAAGAGCAAATACTAAAGATTTAGGTTTCCAGTATTCAGTTTTAAAAAGCAGGTTTCAAATGCTTGTGTTTGTGTTGCACTAGCCTTGTAAAGCTATTAATTAAAAAGCCTTCCTGGAAGCCCATTAAACTTCCTTTGCAGGGGGATGTTTTTATGACTGTAAAAGCATGGGGAAAAATTCTAGCTGATTGATTTAGAAACACCTGAACAAAAGAGTTTATAATCAAAGTGGTGAAACATCCTTAACCAAAGTGATAACACTGAATGCCACTTCAGGTTAGCAAAATAAGTAATTCCAAAATGGCTTAAGGTAGATGGAAGATGAGGCTGCTCTAAAGGAGAGCAAAAAGGGTGGGGATGAGAACTGTGAAACTAAAGGTTGCTTCTTCTCTGTTAGTTCTTCCCAATTGCCCACAGACAGTAAAAATGTGCTCTGAAGCAAAATTCCTTGGGTCATTGATTTTATTCAGACAGCTTTCTATCTTAGAAACTAGCAAAGCAGCACCTTCTTGTACTTTGCTTAAAGTCAATTACTTCATCATTAATATCATTTAGAATCACAGGAATCCATAAATGGTAGGTATAGCTTATCTAGTTTTTGTTCATGTGTCTTCATGCCTTCCTTCATCCAGTAAATTTGCTTGCTCATGTATTAAGAGAGCTGCTGTTCTATATAAAGTTGACTTTAACATCATTATAATGTGATGAGTTTATAATGTTTTTCTGTCTTGTAGTTTTAAAATGTCTTTAATTTAATTAATCTTTGGGGAAAAAAATAAATTTTGCCTCATCATGTATCATCTGTAAAAGTAATTTAATACTAACTTATTTTATTTTGCAGAGCTGGTTATTTGCCTCAGAATATTCCTTTAGAGATTATCAGATACCTTTCAGAGGAGAAGGATTTTCTGCCTTGGCATGCTGCCAGCCGAGCTCTTTATCCTTTAGATAAATTGCTGGACCGCACAGAAAACTACAACATCTTCAATGTAAGAGAAGCAGTATTTTTCTCCCCCTTCCCCTTCTCCCTCCCCTTCCTCCTTCTCCTCCCCTCCCCTCCCCCTGCCCCTTACCTTCCCCCTCTCTATTCCCCTTCCCCTGTTTTATCTGTCTTCTGTCTTCTTTCCTTTCTTTTCTCTCTCTTATCTCTCTTATCTCTTTTCTCATCTTCATTCTGTTTTTCTGCCTCTCTCTCTGTTCTTTGCCAAGAGTTGAACTATTCCCCAGTCAGATACTGTCAATGACCTAGGGATATTAGCTTTCTTCTCTATTATTCTCTTATTTAAATATAGCAATGGTCAAGCTTTGAGTCATTTGCATTTGAACAGTGATATTTGTTAAGACATATATGATTAGTAGGAGGAAATGTATTTATCCCCCCTACAAAATATTATGTCAAATGGAGGATTTCACTTAGAAGAGCCAAAGTAATCTTTCCAGATTTTCTCTTTTGAGGAGCCCCACGGCGATATTTAGATTGATGCCCAAGCTCAGCGTGGATGCCAAATGCAGGCACAACTGAAGAGTGAGCATGCAACTGAAGTAATGATTTGTAGTCATTATTTAATCCAAAAAGCCATGGTGAATTCAATGCAGTTACCTTAATTAACAAGGATTAGATCATCATTGAATCAAAAGCCCATTCATAATTGGGTCCAAAGGGATAGCAGTAACAGCTAGCAGTAGATAATTAAGATAGACATGACAAACATTTTACCTGATTAAAAAAAAATAAATATTCTAGCTACACTGAAGCATGTTAGATGAAGTTCAGAGGATTTGATTGCAGCCAGCAACAATTATGAACTCTTGGGTTATTTTTAAATTTTACTATTAATACTATGTAGTCTACATATTTCAATGGCCAACATACTGTAATTTAACAGAATTTTGTAAAGCCTTCAAATGAAGGAACTCTCTAAAGCCTGAAATGCTAAAAGGTACTTTTTTTCTTCTTCAACCTAAATTGGCCTGTGTGTGTGTCCAAAGACAGACGTGCTCAGCAGGCAGGAAGCTATAGGTGGCTGTATGTATGTATGTTTGTAGAAGTATATGAATAGATGTGTGTGTGTATATATACATATAAATATATATATATGTATATATATATACACACACGTACACAGTGCTGCCTGCTGACTGGAAAATTATTTTTGTAGAATATATTCTACAGATTAATAAAGACACATTGAGATTCTTTCTTTATGAACCTGCAGTGTGGGCCTACATGCAAACCAGAGCCATAATATAAAATGATGTGGAAACAACTGGTGTATTTAGTCTGCTGTTAACTGCACAGGAAAATTCTTCTGACTTTGCCATTGCTAGTTCACTTTTAAACACGGGTGTGTAAAGAAAACGCAATTCTAATAAATAAAACCAGTAAATTCATGGCTGGGTGTGTTTTATCAATAGCAATGAGAGCTTTGAAAGCAGAGGTGATAGAGGAAATAAAAAGTCTTTTTAGGCACAGAATAACATTTGCTAGAGAAAGCTGCACTATGAATCTCCTTTTGTGTTGACATCACATACACATGCCTGTGCATCCACAATAGCAAAATATATGCTCTCCTATGTGGTTCATTAAATCTCAGTTCTCTTTTTCAAATTGGTAAATTCCACTGGCAGAAGATTACACTGAATACAGTGACAGTGATTTTCTTCAAAACTGGCCAGAATATGTAAATATGACCCCGTGTAAAAAGTAAAAGTAAGCTAAAATACGTCTTGAGCTTGTTTTGGTTTTTATGCACACCAAGAACCTAAACTTAAATCATAGTGTCATTAAATATACACAGCTCATTTGGAGCCACATTGTTTGGTATTCTGAAGCCAGCTGACTCTACTTATGTGATTTTTTTTTGCCACAGCCATGGATATTAAACCAATATTATTTTTAAAGTGATCATGCATGGTATAGTTGATATTGGCCATAGAGTAGAAATCAAGCTGTTGACATTCCTGCAGCTTTTCAGCCATGTATTGTGAGTTCAAAATAGTGTGTGAGAAAGTCTTCTTAAATTTGTGTATAGCAAATATAGAGGTGTATAACAATAAATTGTCTGATCTTAGGCTTTTAATTAAATACTGCTTCTATAGATTGCTTCTCACTATAGCAGTGAAGGAGGATTATATGTTGACATGTTGCTTTGATAAATACAACTAAAAATCTTTGGAAAATAGGACATTATTTTGAAGGTAAACAGGAGAGACAAAAACTCAGTAGCCAATAGTATTTCCATTTCAAATAAAACCTCAAAAAGTAATTGTTAACATATTACATTTTTCTTTTTCCCCTCAGGAGTATATTTTAAGACAAGTTGCATCAATGTATCTCAAGCTTGGATGGCCAATGAATAATCTGAACAAATCGCTTGTTCAAGCATCCTACCAACATGAGTACTGTTATTTATTTTTTTATTATTGCTTCTTTGCAGGATATAATTGTAATAATGCAGCCTCCTAAAATTTGGGTTAATCTTTAGCATGTCATACTTTCCTAGCTTTGTCTCCCTTCTGGTTTTCCTTTCTGGGTTAGAGACAGAGGAGTAAGATGCTGTGGGATTAATTCCTGTTTCCTGAGTTTGGAAAACATTCTTTCCTAAGCCTTAATTTACAGTTTGACTGCACTGGATATTTAAGAACTTGGATTCATGTGACCACAGAGGTCAGGAAGAGTGCATCAGTGTAAATGGGGGCTGGTTTCAGTCTGTGACCTATCTTTAGTTGTGTCAGCAACTATAGGCATTAAGTTGACACTGAGATTTTTATAGGTGGATTATCTATGCTGTATTTCCCAACTTCCAGTCACTGCCACCTTTATAAGAAATAACTTTTTGTAAATACTCAAACACATTCATTAATGCAGCCTTATCACTTTCTCAAATTTGGACAGAGAGTTGCGTCGAGAAGTCATCATGTTGGCCTGCAGCTTTGGTAACAAACACTGTCACCAGCAGGCTGCGACATTAATCTCGGATTGGATTTCTAGCAATAGGAACCGGTAAGTGGAACTAAAATGAGTATTTCCTATTTCTCCTACTCAGGCAATACAGCTGGAGCTGGCATGCTCTTCTCCTGCCCACCCCAATCCACAGTGGAAGGAAGCAGAGGTCCTGATAAATTATATGGTAGAAGGCAAGAAGATGGGTTTTAAGGAGGGGTTTAAAGGAAGAAAGATGAGTGAATGCAGACCCTGTGTCCAGGCAGGAGAGCAGAAGGTGCTAAGTGATTAAAGTGAGAGAAGCTCAAGGCTGAAGGACTGAGAAGCAAGAAAAGAGATGAAACAATGTATTTGAGGGGAATGTTATGAATTACTTAAAGGTGAAGACTTGGAAAATAAAATGATTCAGGTATACATAGAAAAGCTAATGTAAGTTTTCAAAAAGGGAATAATATGATAGCTGATGTGTTGAGCTTTAGCAGCACTGTAGGGTTTTGCCCACAAATATGTAAGTGAGGCAATTCAGACAGGTTCTTTCAGCTGAGGCAAAGGAACACAGACTGTGGATGATGTGTGAAGTTTATCTTTTAAAGGCAGGCATCTAAGAAATGTTGAATGACAGAAGATACAAATATTTAAGTATGTAGTGATCTATGGACAGTGGGGTAGTATAGGTTAAGACCACAACTTCTTGAGAAAGAATGATGGATTTTCTGATTATGTGGAGCTCTGGATAGGGTGTGTATGTACACCACATGATACTTTGGTTTACAGCAAAGTACTTTACTTTCAAGTAACAATGAAAAAGAGAAGAGTCTCACATTTTTAGCCCTAATCTTGTATTAGCTCCACAAAAGGATCGGGTCTCTACAGACATATAAGCATGTAGAATTTTTCAAATACATCTTGGGCCAATCAAGTGTTCACATATAAGCATGTAGGATTTTTCAAATACATCTTGGGCCAATCAAGTGTTCGTCTGTCTTTGTAATCTTTGAAAATCCTTTACAGGCATACCCAATTATGTAAGTACCTGAGTGTCTTTTAAAACCAGCAATGAACTGAGCATGAATAGAAATTGCATTCCTATATGACTGTGGAACTTCTGAAAAACAAAATTATCTTGAACCTATGACTATGTACCTTTAAACAAGACATCTGTGAGGGAGAGAGTTGTTTTGTATAAGGTGATGTGAGATATGTTTACTATGAAATCTGTCCCCCAGGGTTTTATATGAATTCTTATTGTCAGCAGGA